TCTTTGTCTGCTTCAGTTGCACTACCAAGGATTAATATTCTCCAGGAAAGCTCTGTTCGTGTTGAGCTAATCAAAATGACCACAGCTGATCACAGCTGAAAGTCAAATGGCTTTATGTGCTATTGAGGTGATTAGCTACTCCTGATTGAGTTTACAAGTCATTTTTAGGAGGGGGGTGATCCTTTATCCAACTCAGTGATTCTGTTTTTTTTTTCTTTTTTTCTGTCATGTTGTTGTCATATCTTTAACATGGATGTTATAAGTTGAACTGAGTAAATACAGCTGGATAAAACAAAAACTGTCCATCTTCATTTCAAGCTGCAAAGCAACAAAATGTGATTATTTTAAAGGGGGGTGATTCTTTCTATACCCACTGTATATACCAAATAAATAATTACCATAAATTAAATTATTAAAGTTTAAATAATCTTATTGTGATCATATGAGAGACAATAAACTAGCACAGTGTAAGAAATTGCTTGCCAGGAGGATATAATCAATTATATAGTTTAGTGATCATTATGCAAAAATATTGGACCACAAAATGAATAATTTGACCATTTAGAATCAAGTATTCCAGAAAGCCACATGATATTTATTTATTTATTTGTTTCTTTTTGCCAACTTATTTAAAAACTTTATTACATATGGCAAATTTTAAGGATTAAATTAGGGTTCAAATTATACACTTTTGCCATAGACCTTTATGTTTTTGCTTTAATAATTAATTTATCACTGTATAATGTTATACATATACTGAAAATACATCTTTATGTGGGCCAGAATTTGTCGTCCACGCTGGTGTTAGAGCAGGAGGGAGCTCCAAAAGAATTGGATGTGTCCTACGGGTCTTCATGTAAGGGGAATCAGGCAGATATTAAATGGAAGGAGAAAGGAGAGTGTCAAGGTATCAAGCATGAGAAGGTAAGCACCACCTTCAGTGGTTTCATCTGAATTATCAGCAACCAGGAAACATTTGTTGGTGTATCTCATATCTCATTTTTTTTGATTCATTGATTTTATAGATTACTTTCAAAGTACGTTTGAATGCGTCTGCATGTCTGAAGGAGCCGCAGACATTTCGGATCAAAATGCAAGGTATCAGTGAGGAGGTGAAGATCACAGTGGATACGGAGTGTCACTGTGACTGTGGTGTTCCAGAGAAGGCTTCCAAACACTGTAACAGTTCAGGAATTCTCTCATGCGGCATGTGCAGGTACATCCCCCTAGCGTCTCAGCAGGGAACTACATCAGCTGACAGACTCTAGGAAGATACCCTGATTAGAGGGTCTTTGAATTTGAAAATACATTGATATAAATGTAAATGTACCCGAGTTAGCTGAAATGCTATTTTTATCAACAATATTTATACTACCAAGCTGCAAAAAAGACAGAAAAGCACAATGAATCTAATTTGCTATTACAGTAATCATTAGGTCTTAAAATCCAGTCACATTTCCAGTCACACTTGTCACATATATGTCTTGATCAGTCACATGACACAGGAGAAGCAATGGGATTTGGTGTCAGATATTTCAAACATGAAATTTTCAAGTACTAGCAACTTGACGTTTAGTGTGATACTCACAAAAAGCTTCAAAAGACTACTTTTATGATACTTCTGTGGTGTTTTTTGTAGGTTGGGCAGTATAAATCAACTTTTGTGTTTCACAAGAAAGAAAATATGGGTCCGGAATGACATGGGATGTGATCACCATGTTGATTTTTTAAATGAATGATATGTGATGTGATCACCATGTAGATTTATTTAAAAAGCTCTTTTAAATAACACCTTATTTGATTTAACAGCTTTAAATATTGACATATAATACTGTGTCTTATCAGTTTACAATTTTTAACTTATAAACTGTGTGTGTATTGCGTGTGTTAGCTGTGATGAAGGGTATTTGGGTCAGCGCTGTGAGTGTGTGCAACAGAGTGATGCGGACTCTATTGCCAACATGCTGGCATCCTGTCGGCCTGACAACAGCTCGCTGGTTTGCAGTGGACACGGCACCTGTGAGTGCGGCAAGTGTGTGTGTCAAGGCCAGTTCAGTGGGAAATTCTGCGAATGGGATGACAATAGTTGTGAATACCATAATGGCTTTCTCTGTAATGGTAAGTACAGTGGATTGGCACAAAAATGTAGCTATTTCTTTCTTTCTTTTTTGAGTTTTAGATTCAAAACTCAATATCTACTCCTCTGTATGTTTGTCATAGGTAAAGGCAGATGTATGTGTGGAAAATGTATCTGTTCTAATAACTACACGGGGTCTTCATGCGAGTGCTCGCCTAGCCAAGACAAGTGTATCAATGACAAACGGCTTTGCAGCGGTCAAGGCAAATGCACTTGCAACCATTGTCAGTGTAACCCAGGCTTCAAGGGAGAGCACTGCTCTGCATTCATTAATGATTGCATGCTGTTGAAGTGAGTATCTGTCTCTTCCTGTGATCTGATATGTGTTTCAAGATTATTTTTAGTGAGGTGTGCTGTGCATTTGTGTGTGGGTTTTTTTCTTCTTGAAACCACAATTTTAGTTTTCTCTTCCTGGTTTATTTTTCTATTGTTCATATGCTTTATAATGATAATAGTGCTGGGTAGCAAGACTTTTGAATTGTGAATCATTGTGAGGCTTATTCCAGCTACCTAATTTACGAAACAAAAAAAAAAGTATATAGTTCATTTCAGCTAGTAGCCAAGGCAACATTTTTCATTTTTATTTAGTTAAACTTGATGTGTTAAAATAACTAAAAGTAATACTGAAATCAAAACGAATAAAAACTTAATAGATATATTAAAAAAACAGAAAATATAAAACAAAAAAATAATGTAAAATATTACTAAAAACTATAATAGTAACTCAATTATACTTAAATAACACTGCTAGCAACACCAAGGTCATGGGTTCGATTCCCATGGAATGCATGAACTGATAAAACACCTTGAATGCAATGTACTACAAATGCAAATTCACTTTGGATAAAAGTGTTTGACAAATGTGTCTTTGTGTTAATGTGTTTATAGGGACTGTGTGGCTTGTCACGAGGTAGTTGGTACTCCTGATACCAATGTCTGTGCTATAAGATGTTTGAATGCTACAGTATCTCATCTTGAAGGAACTCATGAGCTGCATTGCACATATCAAGACACCATTTCGTACGAAGTGAAACTTGGTGATGATGGCAAAATTGTACTTCAGTATGCAGACCTGCCTCGTAAGTATTAAAATCTAATTTAATTTCATTTGACAAGACCGTAAAATAAGCACACTCTTGAACTCATATATGACACAGAATGGATGTAACTGTGAATGTTAAATGTTTGTTCTTTTTGTCTCTGTAGGTTCTGTTGATAAGACGACACTTATAATTGGCATCTCTGTGTCAGGCATAATTTTAATTGGCATTATAATAATCATTATTTACCGTTGCCTACTGGAACTGTATGACATTAGAGAGTACCAGAACTTTGTCAAAGCACAGAAACAGACTGAATGGAAAGAGGTGACGTACATGCAAAGACATTCTGTGTTATTAACCACTTCAACAGATTTAGTTTTGTAGGCTTTAAATGTAGAGCTATTTATAACCTGTGTAGACAACATATTGTTTAAGTGTTTCAGTGTGATATTAAAGAATTCACAGACTGACCATGTAACAATCAAATGTTTCTTTGTTCTGTACAGGTCCAGAACCCTCTTTTCAAAGGTGCCACGACAACGGTGTATAATCCTTTGCATATGAAACACGATGAAAACGAAAAGGAACATTCTGAGCAGATTATTTAAAGGGGTGGTTGATCAGCTTTTTTCGAAGGCTTGATTGTGTTTATGGGGTGCAGTGGGACATGTGCTCATTATTTTCACATATTTTACCTTTATTCTACACCGCTGTTTCCGTTCTCGTCAAAACGGTCTGTTGAGTTCCTGGTTCTATGAAGCCCCTCCCTCAGAAATACGCAGTCGGGCTCAGATTGGTTAGCTGGCCCAGTGTGTTGTGATTCCTAATGCACTTTGTCCGGAAATGTCATGCCCCCTTACCATTAGGGGTAGTTGCATGTTCCCGGGGACAGGATTTATGTAAACATCGGGGTTAGTGATGTCACAAACCCGGGAAGAAGCTCGTTGTAGTCCTTAAACAGCAAATTTTTAAAAAGAAAATATCTCCCTTTGTGTTGAACTTTGAGTGTTGTAACTTTGACATTGTTTATGCTCTAACAGCAACATTACACAACTAAAGTTAAAAAAGTGAAATCATAATCAACCACCCCTTTAATTTAAAGAGGGAGAGGATCTCTGGGAGTTTGCTCTTGTAATATCTTGTTTTTGTTTTTTTTAATGTACATCTTACATTTTAAGCTAGCAATAAAAACATTTAAATACAGCATTGCATGATTGTTGTAAATATTGTGATGTATTTTATGCATATTAATATATATGCTCAACACGAAGCCTTTTTTCACCTATAGGCCTAAATAAATAGAGCTTTTCTGTTTGATAAACTGAACAACTCTACCTAAGACAATTAGCATTTTCAGGCCATGGGTTTCTAAAGAATGTCATTTTTTGAGTAAAATAAAATGTTTAACATTATTTGATGTTTGTGAATTTTGAAGCAGATGCATTGCTAAATAAAAAACACAATGATGTGTTTTTGCAGCTTCACAGCTTACATTCTTTTTTTAAAACAGTGACTTCAAGTTATGTCTGAAGTATGACCTGAACAGCTTTATTCCATAATAGTGTAATTGTTTTACTTCAATAATAAAAAATTGTTTTATGTATTCTTTTATCTGTTAATTTCAGTTCAATTAGCAGGTCACATTCTAATGTCCGTTTCTATTTCTGAATGACTGTTACTTAAATGTGTCACATGGTCACAACTAAGGAAAGCATAAAAATTCTAAAAACTACAGTACCCATGGTAAATTATTTCCACTTCCGGGACGCTGCAGTTTCCCGTTAGGCTTTGCGGTATTTTAAACAAGTGCGCGGCTTCATTCCGCGATCTGCTGCTGTCATCCAAAATAGCGGCGAAGCGCGAGTGGAAATAACTAATTTTACCTTTATTTACCCACATTTATTAAAAATACATGAACGCAATTCACAACACTCAAATAGTGTCGCCGTTCCTCCATATTTGACCGTTTAACCTGGCATGGTGGTGGTAGGCTAACAGGTTTGTTTGATTTGTTTACACTGATCGTGGATTAACGCTGGCCTAAGTTAGCTAGTTAACATGCTAGTTTGCAACTGAATGTCAAAGTGTACAAGACAGTATAGCTGATGATCATGAAATATACTTTTAATGCAGTAACGTTAACGTTAACTCAAGAGTAGATAAATTGTCATTCAGCCCTTGAATGTTCAAACTTGTATTACATAATTGCGTATTTTGCTTGGATATGTTGGTGTGTATATGTATGTATGTATATATATATATATATATATATATATGTCATGTTACTAAATCGTCTAATATCTGAATGGCTTGCCATTAACAAGTAGTTTGTTTGCAGTCAAAACAGTGATAATGAAGTGCTTGAGAACAGAGGAGTACGTCCAACAGTTATCTTGTGTTAAGGACACGGTAGTTCTTCACGACGAGCTGAAGGTAAACATTGATTTCTATGTACATGTGAGATTGGGAACAGTTTCCAGTAAGCTAAAATCTGGATTTATTTCATGTATGATGCATATAGCTGGAGCTTTTCTTGTTTTCTTTTGCTGCAGAAACATGTGGATGATGGCTTTGGTCCATATGGTCGCACAATGTGCGATCGTATCATCCGGGCTTGCAACCAGCGACTGGGAAGTGGGTCTTTGGACCCTGCCCATCAGGACCAGATAGTGGAGTTGGTGGAACTGGCCGTCCAAGGGTTTGAATCGCTCAAAGAGTCTGGAATACAGAGCAACCCATTTTATCTAGAGAAAATAGTGTTCCACATCCTACAGAAAGTCACAAGCCTTGGAGCTCACGGCCCTGCTTGTCGATTGGGTCAACTTATGTATAGAAGACTAAAGCGTTTGTCTGCAGAGGTACAGTATGCTTGAGATGGCAGATTTCACATGGTCATGATGACTAGTGTTATTTTCTTATTTATATTCCATTATAGTTTTATTAATATTTTGAATTAGCCATTTTTGTTTTTATTTAAAAAAAATGTATATTCTTTGGTCATTTTTATTAGTTGTCTTTTTTTTATATTACTATTCAAGTTTCACTTTTTAATTTTAGTTAATTATATTTATTTTCAGTTAATTTTATTGCTTCAACCTAAACTTATTTCAGTTATGTGCCAAGGCAACATTTCAAATTTTAAAGACAACATTTCTTATTTTCTTTCTAATTTTCATCTTGTATTTAAAGTTTATTTTACTTCAGCTTTATTTAAATGAACAAAAATGTTTCTAATATTTAAATTTGAGTAAATTGTAGTTAATGATGATAACTCTGGTAAATTAATTTAAAATGAATTAACTGGTAAATTAATTTAAAATGAAATCTCTATTTCATTTTAAATATCAAGTAATCTGGTAAAAATCATGAAAGTTCATTGGTCAAAAAGTTTGGGAACCCTGGAGACAGATTCCTTTCGAATATAATAAAGCGTATCCATATTTCAAGATGCTTTCTGTAACCCTCATATTTTTTGTTTTGTCAACAGATGGATGACTTCCATGTTCTAGTGCGGAATTGCTTCGCAGTGCTGTGGAACAGTCTCCTGTCCAACAGAGCGAGTGGCTCCACCCTCCTTCCACGGGACAGACTTCACTGTCAGCTGCAAGCTTTAACTTTCAGACTCCTAGAACATGGGTCCAGCTCAGCCTCTTTCCCATCTAAAGTTCCTCTGTTCGTAGAGGAAGTGGTAGTAGAGTATGAAAGATCTTGTGGGAGTTTTACTCATGATGATGTGAGTTTTCTGTCCTCTGAATTACGAGAACTGTTCTTCGGCCCTTTAATCAATCCGCAAGACTCTGCACTGACGTGTCTCTCGCTAGCAGTGCGGTGCGAGGTGGTGTTTAAGGTTTGTAAACTGCTCTGCAAGAGTCGGTTTTCTGCCGAGGCTGTTGGATTGTTGCGTGGTGCTCTGGAGGGCGTTGATGGCCACGTGGGTCTGCGTTTGGCTTTGAGCCTTGCAGATCGTGCAGTGCAGCTGCAGTCTGCATTAAGCTTGGGAGGTGAATGCAGTAAGGCTTTCACTGAATGTGCACGTTCCCTCAGAGGGCTGCCTCGTGTCATGTCGGCTGCAGAGTCTCATGCCTTATTAGAGGCTTGTCAGTTGGTGGTTTGGGCATTGGAAGCCGGTCAGTGTAAAGAGATGGACGTAACTACATTGCTGGCTTGCTTTTCATTTTTGGAAGAATATCAGGAACTTCTGCTCACACAGCAAAAAGTAAGATTATATAATAATTCGCTGGTACTCATAAATACGTGTTTGGAATATGAATTTTTTAAAGGCTTGTGTTTGTGTTCCAGGACTCATTTTCACAGCAGGTGCAGTACTCGCTTTGTTTCAGTTTTTACCAGGGCTTCATTAGCACGTATGATAGTCTTCATGCATCTCAGGTAGTAAGCTGTGTCTTGAGACCATGATCAAGTTTTATGATTAGCTAGATGTTTCACATTCATGTCCTTTATTCAACTTCTGCATCCAAAGGTGTCTGCAGGCGATGCTCTGGACAGAGTCCTGTTGTACTGCCAGGCGACAGCAGGGCGGATGCTTGCTGAACTCCGGACACTCAACAATGACAATTTCTTACTTAAAGCAGGTACATCTGCCTGAAGTCTGCATGCTGAGATCTTATTGGATGAGTTGTGTTTGGAGCCATTTGGTGCTCAAGAAACATTTCTTGTCAAAGGTTTTTGTGCTGCTTCATATTTTGTGGAAATTGTGATACTTCAGGGTTCTTTGATTAATAGAAAGTTTACAAGAACAGCATTTATTTGAAAGACATTTTTGTAACAATGTAAATGTTTTGTTTTTTTTAAATAAATTTATTGTGTCCTTGCTGAATAAAAATATTAATTTCTTTAAAAAATAATCTTACAGACCCCAAAGTTGTGAACAGTTGTGTAAGTTCACCAGTGAGTCCACGTAAATTGAATTCTATATTAATTTGTCTTTTTCTTTTTCTTAGTGTGTGCAGTGAATAATGTGGTATATGAGCTGTTTAACAGGAAGCTGTATGAGGGAGGCTTTGGTTTGGCTGTGATTGTGTGTCAGGATCTGTGTAAGGACTGCCCACCCTCTCTTCCTGTGGATAGGGTAAGAACTGCAGCTTAGTCTGGTCATTTGTTAACTTTTTTTGGGGATTAAAGGTGGGGTAAGCGATTTTTCAAAAACGCTTTAGAAAACTGATTCGTGCAGAATAGCAAAACAAACTTGTAGCCAATCAGCAGTAAGGGGCGTGTCTACTCATGATGTGGAGGAGAGAGCTTTCAGTGCACAGGATGGACATTAGCGAGCCGAGTGACAGAAAGATAGAGATGGCGGATAAAAAAACGAGGAAAACGTCTGCAGAACAAAAGAAGGCTTAAGGCAAGAAGTAGGACCCGTGTAAATATCGGATCAGCTTTCCAGCGCTGGAGAGAACTCAAGGAGCGGAAGGCCTGCGATCGGACGCCGAGGTTGCTTTGTTTCTTCTCGATAAGTGAGTAACACTGTGTCTGCGCCGCAACGGCTAAAGTCTGTCTAGTTAGTACACTGGACGCGACAAAGCGACCGTTGAAAATCATTTGAAATTTGTGTCAATACGTCATAAATAGAACGCAGCAGCAGTTTTCTTTCGGGGATTTGTCGTGTCGTGCCGTGCCGCATCCAGTGTAGACCATAGATATGTATATATATCTATGGTGTAGACAGAATCACTGATTATAATGAGTTCCATAGTATTTTGTCGCGCCGCGCCACTCGTGTCTGGTGTAGACACTGTGTAAAATTGGTTTTGCTTTGTTTTACAGAACTAATCGTTGCCTGGGTTGCGTACATATGTGTGGGGCGGAGCTATCAAAATAGGGGCTAGACCACTGATCTATAATATCGCGTAGCGTGTTTGTTTTGGTGATTTCAAATGTCAACATTGGCTACCAGAAATCGCTTACCCCACCTTTAACAGCGAATAAAAAGGAGCAATATGACATTGTGCCCTTGAAGTCAAGGACCTTATATGTGTATTGTCTGCTTTATTATGAATATTTAGATTATTTTCAAGTTGTACATTGAGTTAAATGTACGTCAATATAAGCCTCTCATCTGTTGATGTATTATGTGGATGTTTCAGGTCAACCGCTGTTTCACGCTGACCGTGCAGTGTAGCCGGCGTGGGGGTCAGCTGGAGCGGGCTCTAGACTGGATTGTGCGCTGGATTCGGGTTTTGGGCACACAGATTTTGGATCATCTCACAGAACCTGTGTCACTGTGGGTCAAAACCAAGTCTGATGCTGCTCGAGCAGGAGAGGATGACACGCGTCTAAGGTAGCTTAAACTAAGCCTATCGAAAAGGGTTTCCGATGTACTATTGTTTAAGTGTGATTGAATGTGGTAATAATATACTTTTTTTGGTTAGGACTCTGAGGGATGGGTTAGGAGAAGCAATAGCGGATAAAGAGGTGATGTTGTGTTTGTTAGAAGAGGAGTTGCGTTTGTATAAAGAGCAGACTGGAGACACGACCCAGGAGCGCTACAACACACTCTGCGACCTCTTGGATATCTGCCATGAAGAAACCCCACATACACTGAGACGGGCTACATATCTATGTGAGATGGCACAGGTTGTGTGCTACCAGGACTTCAGCCAACAGACTGACTGGTGGGTAAACATGACCACATGATCATATTTATTTTAAAGACTTTTTCTGCTTTTGTCTTATTTGAATCAGAGAAAAAAATATGGAGCACTTAAGATCTTTTTTGTTCTTGGTAATCAGCTCAGCAGTTGACTTTACCCATGAGGCTTTGAGGTTGCTGGAGGCGGAGCCAGATACAGCAGAGAATGCTGATAGGCTGAAGGATGAGAAGGCACATGCCTCCCTGTGGCGCTACATCTGTACTCTTGAGACCAGTTTGCAGGAGGTCAGTGCCTTGGCAGTGTACATTACAGATAGAATCTACAGATTCTATTTTTCATAACAAAATGTTCTTACTGCCCCCAAACTTTTGAACCATAATGTACATACTGGAAAACTTTCATTTGGTGTGTCACAGGCTGTGGACACAGAGAAGCGATTGCGTGCAGTGCAGGAGGAGAATAAAATGGAGGGGAGTATGGATCCTGTTCCCACTAATGATCTGGAGTATGAAGACAAACAGAAATCACAAGAGAGCCAGTTAGTCTATGATGGACTACGCTTCAATCTACTGGCTCAAAGCAGTAAGTCATACACTCAAAGTAGAATGCAGAAACCAGAACAGGTTTGAGAAGCACTACTTTATGGTATAATCTAATGTGGTTGCTTCACGTGTGTGTCAGAGCTGAGTGAGCCTTTGGACAGATGTTTGTCTCTGTGGCGGAGTCTGCTCAAGGGCTCTGTGCCTGCAGTTAGAGACCCTAAACTCACTGCTTCTTCCATGACACTGATGGCTGCCCTCTACACACTTATGGGCAAAGTAAGACTACACACCCACATAACTCACTGTGATCTGTGTAACATCAGTTTACTCAAACTCATAACCAAGAGAGAAGTATTTGAGACTCGTGTTGAATAAACAATATGTCTTTGTTAGCACCTGCAAGCTCTGGAGGGATATCAGCTCGCTGCTGCTCTTTTCCATAGCCTCGGTGATGCCCAGAATAGTGCGAATGCCTTTTGCCACTCTGCCAGGATCCTGCTGTATCTGGGCTCTCCTCCGCTTGCGCAGGTGAATGAATTCTTTACACTGTACCTCTGTACTATAATATCTTAACTTGTTGTTTACACTAGAACTTTGTCTGCGTGTTTCAGGTGGAGTTAGAAAAAGCAGAACAGAGTTTGACCTCTGTCCCGAGCTCTGAGGGCACATCTGTAATATCCATGCTTGCTACGCTGCAAAAAGCACAGATACACTACGCTTTAGGACAGGTAATGCTCATTCTTATAACTATTTGTGGACCAGTGAGTCAATTTAATCCAGGTCTAGTCTCTATGGAAATGTTTTACACTGTATTTGCATATTTGCTCACAGAAGCACTGATCTCTTTCTCAGGTGGAGCGTGGTGTGAGCTGTCTGATAGAGGTGATAAAGGAGTCCACTCAGCATCATTCTAAGAGCTGGTACCTGCTCAGGGCACAAGCACTGCAGACAGCCAGTGAATACTTGAGTCTGGACACACAGACTTTGGACTCACAGCTACATCAGAGCATCGCTCAGCATGGTCAGCTCTCATCCAATACACACATTACACATTTAGGTACCACTAGTGTTGGGCGATATGATCATTTTTCAAATCGTCATATCGCCAGCCCATGAGATCGCCAGTACACGATATTATCATGCGTGCGTGGGTGGGGGCAAGAGAGAGACTCTCTGTACTTATCATAGGCTATTTAATAACTATGTGGTGTTTTAAACCGCGCGGGCGCGCGAGAGAGAGCCTATGAAAGCACCAATAATCGAAATAATATACTTTCAAACATACTGATAAACTAACATTTTAAATATAAAAATATTTAAAACAGCTATTTCATATATATTCGGATACAACAGTCATACATCACTATTAGGACCGCACGTCCTGTGACAAGTTTGCCGCATCAGAGCACGGAAGTTATCAGTATAAAAGGTCTGCAGTCAATGGTGAAAATCAAAAGTAGATTTATTTTAAAGACCAACAGTTTAACACTAAATATTGGACATAAACGAACATGTTAAATATAAAAGTATTTAAAATCGGTAAGTTCATATATTTGGAGTAAAGTTAAATTGAACGGATACATCAGTCATACAGCGCTCAGGACGCCCCATGACGAGCCCAACGCACTGCCACAGAAACAAGAATGAAATGCATTCTAACATAACTGTGGCATTAAACTCCGTAAGTGAGGGCTCGGTTAAAATATTGTACATATATAGGCCGTTCAGATTACTTGTTAAATGCAATGAAATACCTTATATCTGCAGACGATGTACGTCTGTGTTTGTGGTTGGAGACTCCTTCACCGGCTACAGGCTCTAATCCTCATTTGCGCAAGTGTGAAATGTGGTGCTGAAGTGAAATAGCGGGGAAATTTGATAATAATAACCAAATTATAATAGGCCGCCTAATAATAATAATAATAATAATAAATAAATTTATAGGAGAATGAGTCTTATATCGTCTTGACTATCGACAAAGACGTGCTATAGTCTATATCTCTGACTATCGTCGATACACGATACTATCGTCTATCGGCACAACCCTAGGTACCACAAACATAAGTTATATCTTGCATGAACTTTCATTAGAGCTAGGGGAAAAAGTTGCTTAGTTTTTAACAATAGAAATATAACGTTTTCTTGTTTCTTTAATTAATTTAAATTCAGGAGTTAATCTGTTGGACATTGCTTGGGGTCAAAAAGATTTTTTATGTTTTGAAAGAAGTCTTTCTTGCTCATCACAGCTGCATTTATTTGATCAAAAATACAGTGAAAACGGTAATATTGCATTTTAAATGAGCTTTTCATAAAATATTTTTGAAAAGTATCCCCAATAAGTGTATTTATTTGATTATACATTCAAAACTAACATTGTGAAATTACTAAAATGTAAATGAACTTTTACATTTTAATATATTTTAAGGTGCAATTTATTATTGTGATGGCAAAGCTGAATTTTCAGAAATGAATGCTGATCCTTCAGAAATCATTCTAAAATGCTAATTGGGTGCTCAAGTAATATTTCTTATTCTTGTGCTGAAAACACTTATGCTAATACATTTTTTTTTCAGAATTGTTTGATGAATTGAAGGTTTAAAAGAACTACCATTAATTTGAAATTGAAATCTTTTATAATGTGTCCTTGCTGCATAAAAGTGTTAATATCTTAAAAAAAAAACGTACTGATCCCAAACTTTGTAATGTTAGTGAATATATTTTTTAAACAACTTGATAAATATGGACAGAAAATTAGTCACATCACTTACCCTTATACTATGCGTGAGTACATTTGTGAATTGTGTGTGGTGTAGGTCTGAAGACTTCAGACACGGCTCAATATGAAGGGTTAAAGCTTTTGTGCAGCCTGGTGATGATGTTGCTGGGCAATGGGTTTTACGGAGCCCCTGGACCAAACACAGACACACGCTTTGTTGATCAAGGTACAACAAGCTGTAACCATTTCTAAACACATTTGACTACTTACAAATATTTTTGGTTATTTTCATCTTGGTGTGTTTTCTCTCTGTAGGAGACAGTGTTGTATTTAAGTGGCTGTTGCTGAGTGAGGTGCTGGTGTGCTCTGAAAGGATGGTGATCGTGAGGAGCAGCAGTGGGGCTGTTCATGAAGCGAAAGCTCAGTGTCTAGAGGCTCTCAAACTGGCCATCAAACTGCAGACACTCAGCCAGTGAGTACATACTCCATATCTGTAAATGTGAGAGGCAGAATGTGTGTGACAGTTCAGATCAAAACGTGTTTCTGACATTGAGCGGCAACAACAAAAACCAACTAATGCTTTTTCTTTTAATTAAGCAACAAGTAGGCTTGAATATGCTCCTGGGATGCCAGACAAATTGTTTGCGCATTTGTAATCACATGTTATTTTGTTTTATAGCTGTGCCGAGCTGTTGGTGTTGAAAGCAGAACTGGAGTTGATGAAGGGTGCAAATGAAGCTAGTAGTTTGGATCTGGAGCAAGTTAGAAACTTACTTGATCTCTGCACAGGTAAAGATGTAATTAGAGACACTCAGATTCACCTCTGTGAAAGGTTAGCCCAGAATTACTGGGTCAAGACCCCTTGAACCCTCTCTAGCCATTATTTGTGATTTACATATTGAAGGTGCCTGAAAGGTGTTTGGGAGCATTATTTTAGGGTTATATTTGTGTATGTAGTATTTATGTGTCTGTTTTATTGATTGATTTTTTTTAATGTACTTATTCAAATCAAATTTAAAAATGTGAAACATTATTCATAAAAATTAATTTATTTAATTAGATTTATAGCCAGTAATTTTAAAAACAAAGTATTTATTTTGGATTCATCTCCCCTGCATATAGATTTTGGCCAGGGAAAACAACAGAAGTCTGAGGTAAAAATAAAACCACGCAAAGGTCGGCCAGCTGCCCCTTCTTCCTCTGGTCATGCCCCTGAGAAAGATGATGATCTGAGTGGAATCCTCAGTTCTCGTGCCCTTCTCAAGGAGCCTGTGGAGACCATGTCTAGATTAGGAAGCCAAGGAGCATCTCCCCCTCTGAAGCCCAAACGCCAGCATGGGCTTTCCTGCCTGACCCACGCAGACACCTGTTCCTGTCCCTGCTGCAGTGAGCTCAGTGTGGCTCGAGTCAGTATCCACTGGGCACTGTTACAGGCAGACCTCCAGACAGACCCTGAGCGCTCTTGCCGACTACGCCAATCTGCCAGGAAACGCTGCCGTAGTGTCGCAGCTAAGCTCCAAAGCAGTTTGGCAGCTCTTGTGTCTAAAAAGTCAGCTGGACTATGTCTGTCGCTGCTCCAGGCAGAACAAGGCAAAGTGCATTTGGGCGCTGTGCTTCAGCTTCTGAGAACAGGGGACAAAGGGAAGGCTACAGTCCTGTGGGAGGAAATAGAGGCAGGATTGGAGGCAGTGATGCCCAAAGGGGCACTGACACCAGAGCTTGGGCCCATCAGAGCTGCTCTGCTGGGGGCTAAAGCTGTGGCCTGCTGCTTGGCATTGGCCATGAAGAAACAGTGTACACCAGAAGAACTGTTTTCTTCTGTATGGGGCTGGAATCCACCGAAGGTTAAACCACAATTAAAACTCAAAAGCGAATCAAAGCATCGATCCAAGAGCCCCGTTTCTGACACAACTCCTCCAGAGGCAGGTGCAACATGCCACCCAGATGTTAAGAGTGCATCTGCAGAGCATGAAAGCAGGAAAACCAAAGAGTTCTCTGTAGTTTCTAAGAAACCTAAGGACTTAGTGCCTAAAATTACCATCACAAAATCTTCCATGGTTTTCAAAACGCCTAAAGCATCAAGGACATTCCGGCCCAAATCGGTCTCCACTAGCTCTGGCATTGGTGACTTAAGAGCCTTTGACTTCACTAATGAGGTCCCTGAAATTTCTGTCGACTTTACACCCTCATTACACCCATCTGCCAGCCATCGTGGGATTGCAAAGTCAAAAATTGGCCCAAAGGGATCGTTTGAAGTCTACAAAGATTCTTCTCCTGCAGAAGAGAAACCTGTGATTGTGCCAGCTGCGCCTAAACGAACCAAGCGCTCTCGCTTCAAGGTTTGGCCCATTGGTTTCACACCTCCTGAGATGATGGTAGAAGATATCTTTATATCGTAAATCATTATTGGTTAATTACATCTGTTCTTTCTCTTAGGTCGAATTCAGTGATGAAAGTGACACTGAAGCCATACCTCCTGCTGTAGTGGATAAGTCTGAGAAAAAGCGGAATGCCTCCAACGCCAAAACATCTCCGAAACCAGCTCTGAACTCCATTTCTAGGGACGCCAAAGTTGTGAACCCCACTGTAGAACCAGAACCTCCCCGACGCACACGGACCACTAACAAAAGCACAGCCCTCCCCTCTACCAGCTGCCTCTCTTCTGAGGAAGAAACTGGCTTATCTACCCAGACACGCACACGCAGAGGACGACCAAAAAAGAGTCAAAGTTCAGAGGCCACAGAGGAGCCAGAGAGGATGAGGATGATTAAAGAGGATGAAGATGAGGTTGTTTTGGATATCAGCCTGGAGGAGCTCAGAGGGTCTGACACGGAGATAAATGACGCAGGTGTGTTTGTTGACCAAAACTGATATAAAATTATTGCTCATTTGACTAATTCTCGTTGGACTAAATTAATTGTGTGTATGTGATTCTAGGCAGCCCAGATGCTGATTGTGAGGTCTTGAGGAGAGATCTGGCTGCAGATGTTGGACGAGGATGTTTCAGTGAGCTCAGAAGAAATGGACAGAACGGCTCTGGATCTCACACAACCCTGCCACATGCATCTACACCCCTAGGTAATACTGTGTGCACTACAGTTTAAAAGCTTGGGGTCAGTAAAAAGAAGATTTTTAAAAAATGTAATACTTTTATTCAGCAAGGATGCATTACATCGATCAAGAGTGACAATAAAGACATTTATAATTATAATGCATTTATTATACAAAAGATATCTATTTAAAATAAACGCTGTTCTTTTGAACCTTCAAGTCATCAAAGAATCCTGAAAAAATGTATCATGGTTTCCACAAAAATATTAAGCAGCACAATTGTAATAATATTTCACAATTTTATTGTATTTACTGTATTTTTGACCACATAAATGCAGCATTGGTGAGCATAAGCAACATTTTTTACATTTAGAATGGGTGTTAGGGTTCCTGTGAAAAATGAAAATTGTTTTTAAACTTTGGTACTATTTAGGGCTGTCAAAGTTTTGTCTACTATAACAGTAAGTCTTGATTACTATAAATGTATATAAATGTATTTGTTTTATTTCATATTTAGCTGATCTGTCAGTAGAGGCGGTCCAGTCGTACCTGCGTTCCTCATGGCTCCTCCTCCATCACTTCCCACCTCCCTCTCTTTTTCCCCACATCTGCTCACTGCTCGCTCAGTCACTCGGCCAAACCGATCCCGTCACTACTGCAATGCTACATGCACAGTCGCTAGGTGTGTCCACTCGCCACCATATGACCCGTCATGTGGTTAGCCAGTTCAGGTATGTCAGTTAGTATGAAATGCAGACATTTTGACAAAAAAATAGTCACAGCCTGTCTCCTAAAGCATTTGCAGGAGGAATAGAACCTCTTCTCTCTGTATTTCTGTAGGAAGCTGAAGAAATCTTGTAATGATGTAACAGAAGGTCTTGGTGCTCTGAGTCTGGAGGAAACGTCTGGGGCAACACAGTCTCAGAAACTCTCTGCACTGGAGCAGATCTTTTCCTTCACCTTATCACACCCAACACAGTTCCCACAGACACACTGCCACCAGTTCACACAGCAGCTGAAAGATCTGCCAGCAGGTAACAACTGTGCTGAAAGTGACCCAATGAACGGCACTGTTTGTGACAAATATGCAGGGGTAACAAAACATTTGAATGAATTATGCATAATTGCAAGGATGATACAGAATGATTTAAAATTGATGAAATTGTGCTGGTTTAAGGAAATTCTATTACTCTGCAAGCACTCTCGAAAAAAAATTAATAGTCAACTCTGAATCCATATTGCTTTTATTTAAGGCAAATTTTAAAAATCTGATAGTTCACCAATCATACAGGTTTTTAAATTGCTCCTTTATACTCTTTCAGCTTGTTACTCAACGTAAAAATAGCCAAGGATGCTGGCATGGGTTTAAAACGCCAGTCAACCAGCCATTTAAATTGGATGTTTTTTTGCTCTAGGAATAACAGTGTGCATGCTTTCGCTCACGGGTGTCTATCCTGATGAAATCGGCAGCACTATTCTTCTGACCCGACTGGAGCACGGCTCTAACCCAATCACTGTTCGAATCCCTACTGCAGACAGAAAGGTACATTTGTGTGATGTTTTCACTACTTTGGTGTATTACCTAATGCAACAGGTTTAAAACATTAAAATTATCTTTTCACAATGAGAAGGAAATGGGGAGATGTTTGCGCAAACTATTTTTATTTTTAGCGCTCTGTTGCTGTGCTGTTGGAAGAAATGGATGGAGTATTGAAGGGGCAAAAGGACGTGAGTACGGTGGCTGAGAAATCGCAGTGGTGGGAAGGAAGAAAGTCTTTGGATGTTCGTGTGGAGGTGAGACACAAGTTCTTTGACAGTTAGAAAATGATTCATGTAAAAGGATGGATGTTGGATACTGAATGTGATGTTGCCTTTGTTTGTCCATCAGAAAATGTTAGAAGAGATGGAAGAGGCTTTAGGTGTGTGGCGAACTCTACTCCTGCCTTTGATCTCTGATTCTGAGCTTGAAGTTCAGGTAAAGTGCTTCCAAAAGGCACTGAAAGGAACAAAGATCACACAGGACATTCTTAAGGTATGTGGTATCTCTTTTGCACCTGTATTAGTTTGATCATCACGTTCCCACCTTCTCAATACTACTTTTTATCTGAAGGTGATTCTCTCAGCATCTTCACTCCTGTCCCTGCCAGACCTGCAGTGCCTTGTGAAGGGGATGGGTCAGCAGGACAAGGACTTCCCGAGGCTTCTGCAGGGTGGTGTGGCTAAACTGAGAGGAAGGGAGGAGCCACAGGGACATACAGTTCTCATCTTAGACAAGGTACACTGTCACAAATCTGCTCTGCAAAAACTGCTCGATTTTTTTTTGAACATTTTGTGTTTCTCAGTTCTTGCAGAGGTTGCCATGGGAGAACATTGTTTGTCTGAAGTCTCGTTCTGTCACTCGCATGCCCTCATTACATGCAGTACTTGGACACAGTCATCTGAAAGAGGTATATGCCACTCAGTACAAGCACAACGTGCAGAATATTTACTACTAAGTAAAGCTCTTGGAGTTAGTTCACCAATCATTCACATAATTTTAAATCTTTGACTTACGTGGAACACTAAGGAGTTATTTTGCAGAATGTCCAATGTGTTGCTGTTTTTTTTTTCTTTTGGTGAGAACCAATGACGTTTGTTTTCAAGAACATGGCAGGACACAATTGAGCTATGAGAGCTATGGCAGAAGTTAATTTAAAGGGATAGTTCACCCAAAAATGAAAATTTCCTGTTAATTTACTCACCCTCAGGCCATCCAAGATGTAGGTGACTTTTTTCTTCAGCAGAACAGTAAAGAAGACTTTTAGTGATGGCGCCTGATGATACATTGAGGTCTTATGAAATTAATCGATTGGTCTGTGCAAGAAAATTAACATTATTTACAACATTAATACCTTTAGTCCACAGCCTGGGCAAACAGTTTTCAGCTCGTTCATGATTGTCTGGAGCGCGAACTTCCTCTGTTGCATAATGACGTGAGCGCGGACACATACTTGTGCGAAAGCTGACGCGGTTTGTTTACAACGGAGAGTGTTTACAACAGAGAGTGACTCATGCATTTTGTTGTTTTTGGTTCAATGCCTGAAAATAAGGTCTGTGGTTAACACAAGCTCAGGATTTTTTTTAAAGCTTTTACATGTCTTGGAAAATTGCGCTCTTGCAAACTATTCTAACTCAAACTTTCCAACTTGTAGATTTTGAATAAAGACTGTAAGATTTGTCAGATGCTTTGTGACTTGGTGCTTGGTAACGATGAAGTCATGTGACCGTAGTTTGTTTGTAGCCTAACTTTAGCTTTTTACTTCTGGTAGTGGTATTTAGGCTTTTTAAATTGATAAAAGTAGTTCAATTGTGAAAATTAGCATGATGAAGAAAACCTATAAGAATCATAACATTTTGTTGGTCACAGAGCAGTAACTTAAAAGTCAATGGAATAATCCTGTTGTTGTTTTGGCAAGCAATCCAGGGTGATGCAAACTTCGGGGTTGGCCTATAATATTATAAAAATTATTAGTCATTCCTACAACACTCATGTGTGTGTCTTCAAAAGACTTGAAGTAAAGCACTATGAACCATATTTGAATTTATTTTTTCTTGTTTTTGAAGCTCAGCAGTCTCCCATTCAATTCCATTAAAAGCTCAATTCTGTCATAATTTACCCACCCTCATGTTATTCTGAACTTTTCTTCATTTTTAGGTTGAACTGTTTCTTTAATGTGAGTTGTTTGTCTGTCTTTTCTCAGATGGATTCAAGTTGTGTTCTGTCCTGTGGTGTGAACCCTAAGAAAGTTTACTATGTGCTAAACCCAGATGGAAACCTACCTGACACTGAGAATCGCTTTAAAGAATGGTTTACTGGGTAAGTTCACAAAATGTGCACTAACACACTGACGGGCAGTTATGTAACTGGTCCTGTTTCCAATTTGTCATCTCTGTCTGTGACTGGCCAGTGAGCGAGCGTGGCAGGGGGTTTGTGGAACTGCTCCTGACCCAGATAAACTACAAGAGGCTGTGACCACCAAAGACCTTTACATGTGAGTGAAACTGCAAAATAGTTGCTATTATTTATTTAATAAAGCATTGATGAAATATAAAGTGATTTGTGGCTGACAATATGTGTTTGTACCTCTGTGTAGTTACATAGGACATGGTGCAGGAGCCCGGTTTCTGGATGCTCAGAGGGTTTTGAAAGGGCCTGTGCGGGCAGTAGCTCTTTTGTTTGGCTGCAGTAGTGCTGCTCTCAGTGTCCTTGGCCACCAGGAAGGAACAGGAATCATCCTCAGCTACTTGACAGCAGGATGGTAAAGTGCACATCCATGTATGAAAATATTGTGTGTAGATGTTTATGAATTGCTTTATCATTAAGTATAGTTCTTTCTCTTCACCAGCCCATTAGTGCTCGGTAACCTGTGGGACGTGACGGATCGTGATTTAGATCGGTTCACGTCGGCTCTGCTCCAGTCCTGGCTCTCTGCTGGTTCTGGCTCCTCCCTTCTTCAGCATTTAGCCCAATCACGTAACGCCACACATTTAAAACATATAATTGGTGCTGCACCCATTGCCTATGGTTTGCCTGTGTATATTCACTAGCCCAGATTTTAACTTTTTTATTATTCACAGCTAATGTAGTAAATTTTTAATGTGTAAATGCAACTATCTGTTATTTATGGTCTCAGGGCTTGTTTACAATGCAAAGAATAAGCTCTGCCTATATGAAAATGAACCTAGGAAATCTAGGATTAAATCTAACTTGGGCCTAGTTGACAAACTCAAAGTGTTTAGCCATTTTAACGTCCTCATTTAATTTCTGCCGTGTTGTTGTGTGGTTGCAGTTGCTGATTTAGTAACCTCAAGATGTTTTACTCAAGTATTTGAAGTCACATGTTTTTGACGTACAAGTTCTTTCTTGTATTTTCATTTTTATTTCCTCTAAGTTATATCAAATGCCAAACTGCTTTAAAATAAAATGATTTTATAGCCTGTTTTTCACAGTGGTGGTTATTTCAACTTGATATGGTATAGCAGGAATGAGGGAACTACATTTAAGAATTAAAGAGCACATATGGGGAAAAACAACACGAATAGGTTAACAATAATAAATTGACAGGCTGCTCTAGCAGCAAGGGTCATAAACAATGAAGCCTGTGTCTTCAGAATGTCAAGGACAGTGGTTTCAGAGGACATGGGGGATCTACATTTCTAACGTGCCTTGGATGTTTGTCTGATATGTGTGCAGGGGCAGGCTTAATGATGGATCCGAGGAAAGTAAAATTATTAACTGGAACCCAATAAGATTTTAAATGAGTTTAATTTGCCTTTTTCAGTTAGTGATTTTGGTTTCTTTGATTAACCTGTTTTTACGTTTTGGGCTTTTGTAAATAAGTGTGTTCAAGACCCACATCGCTTTTGTTGGTAAAATCTACATATAATTTTGGCAAAATGGCATGCGCATAAAAATAAAATTCTTGTTGAATTGTATGATGCTACAGGGTAAATCCAATCTTTTAACTAACATTAGTAAAGACAAAAATCCATCAAGAGTATTTGTGTGTTTTACAGAGTATTTGAATAATTACTTTTTTTGCATTTTACTATTCTGTTGATTTTTTTTTCTTTTAAATTGTGTTGAGTAATATTTTTTTGTTATACAAAATCATTACTATTATCAGTATTACAGCTGGTCTTAAACTAGCTCACAGCAAAATTAATATTAACCTCACAGGAAACACTCAAAACAACACTCAACCACTTCTAACCACTCACAAGATGTAGTAAGATACTGTCCAGATCTTAAATAAACAATGTCAAGATAATCCATTATAAATTAAGTGGATTTATTATGGTATTCATTGTGTGTTATACGTAATCATACTCTTAAAAGTTATAACCACAAATGCGTAAGTATTATAATGTATTCAGGAGTTGAAGCCTACAGCCTTTCTGTCCATGCAGCAACTGATGGAAAAGGGGGTCTTTTTTTTATGATGTTGTATTATGTGTTATTGCAAAAATGAGTATATACAGTATATAAATATGCATTCTTGAATCATTCTTGAGTCTTGTGTCTTGCCTCCCTACAAACTTTTAAATATCTGGCTGTAATTTAGTGACTGCAAATACTGATTTCATTTGATTCCATCTTTATTATACCTGCTAATGAGCTAGTTAAACTTAAGGGGGCTAATCAATTTACAGTATATTTCAAGAAACTAAGACTTAAGGTACTCCACTTTTTCAGTTGTTTTTATTATACCTGATAATGAGCTAGTTAAACTTAAGGGGGCTAATCAATATACAGTATATTTCAAGAAACTAAGACTTAAGGTACTCCACTTTTTCAGTTGTTTAAAGACTGTGTTAAGTGTAAATTCATTTAAATTTAAAATTGTTAACTCAAAGCAGGTATTTCACACTTTGTAATTAACATCTGATGCATATATAAATCAAAAATCACAATTGAAATAAAAAAAAATGTTCCTGAGATTCAATATCTTTAACAACATGTACAAACATACAAACTAAACCACCAGGGTCCCAGAAATGCGGTCCTGAAACTGCAGCCTCCGCTATATTATCCAATTCGGTAGGTGGCGCTGTTACAAAAGAATAGGGTCCTAGAACTGCGGTCCTGAAACTGCAGCTTCCGGTTGTGCAGGAACACCCTTCTCAAATCATTGCTAAAAGTCATTCCAGTTGTGTCCGGTTGACCCGGAAGTTTTCCTCACCTATTGTCAACATGGCGGTGAATCTAACAGAATTGTCTCTTCCACAATTAGAAGGCTTGAAAACTCAGCTTGATCAGGTAAAATGTGTTATAAATATAAGCATTTCCTCATTTCATTTTGAACCGCAATATACGCTGATATAATCAGTCAATGGATTAGTGAAGAGCACGCAGCGGCTGTCATGCTGTCTGTACGCGTGCCGCTGCTTGTGCTCTGTAATTCACCATTAAACTGATACTTCAGCCAAATGTGAATATTCTGTCATTATTCACTATCCTTCCAATCCGTGTGATTTACATTTTTTCCGTTGAACACAAAAGGAGATGCGGAATGAAAGACACAGTCACCATGTATTTGCATAGTATGGAAAGACTGTCAGTCGGTTATATCAAAACATTCTCCCTTACGTTGAGGAAATTATGACATATTTTCACCTTTTTCTCTTTAAACGTTTCCTTTGAATAATATTTTAACGAGAATATAATGAGAATTTTTTTTTTTTTTTTTTATAAATGCAGAAAAAAAATGTAAAGATAAATTTTTATAACTTTTATTTTGCTAGGATGGGACAGATCTGCACACATTAGAATAAACGTTTTTCTGTTTTTGTCTAGTAAACGGCAATTTATCAGAGCCATGGTAACAAATAAAATTACAGGAATTTGTTTTCTAGGAAACTGAGTTCCTGTCATCATCCATAGGCCAGTTGAAAGTTGTCCAAACTAAATATGTGGAGGCCAAAGAAAGTTTGAATGTACTTAACAAGAGCAATGAAGGTGAGTATTACTGCTGAACTTTATTTGATGCTCATTTAAAATAAATTGAGTTATTCCATTGTTACATCTTTAGCAAAATCTAATCTGTACACTGAATTCTTTTTACAAATGTTTTTTTCCTCAGGAAAAGAACTACTTGTACCTCTCACCAGTTCTGTATCCTCTCAAAAGCCCAGCAGAGTGATAAATAAGTGCTGATAGATTAATTTTGTCTCAACCCACCATCAGACCCTCAAAAATATCTCGCAGGCAGTTTGGTGTTTATGTAAATCATTTGCATTAATCATGGATAAGTTGTTCCCTTAACTGCTTTATTGCAGATGTATGTGCCTGGAAAACTGAATGATGTGGATCATGTCTTAGTGGATGTTGGAACAGGTTATTTTGTGGAGAAGGTGAGCCAAGATTTTGCCCATCTGTATAATATTTTTTTTTTTTAGGTTTTAAAACACTACCAAAGAAATCTCACTGCTTTTTATCTTTTCAGAAAGTAGGTGAAAAATTGAAGGGGGTCTGAATACTTTCCGTACCCACTGTATAGATATATATTATATATCAAAAGTTAGGGAACATTACGATTTTAAAATATTTCAATAGTCTAAATATTGCTAAATAGTTAATTGTTAAATAGTATTACAATTTAAAATAACTATTCTATTGTTACATATTTTAAAATGTAATATATTCCTGTGATACAAAGCTGAATTTTCAGCAGCTATTACTCCAGTCTTCAGTATCACATGATCCTTCAGAAATCGTTCTAATATTCTGATTTGCTGTTTGAGAAACATTTCTTATTATCAATGTTGAAAACAGTTGCACTGCTTAAACTTTATGCAGAAACCATGATTTACTACCATTCATGTGTGTTTAATAGAAATGAATGTTTTTTATTCAGTAAATATGCAATCAATTGATCAACAGTGACAGTAAAAACATTTAGGCTAGAATGTTACAAAATATTTCCTGCTTTTTATCTTTTCAGAAAGTAGAGGATGGCAAAGAGTTCTTTAAGCGCAAAATCGACTTCCTTACAAAACAAATTGAGAAAATTCAGCCTGCCCTTCAAGAAAAACATGCTATGAAACAAGGTGATTTCACAAAACAAATTCAAATTTGTGCACAAATCGTAAATGCTTTAAATAAGAGTTTAATTTGCCTCCTAACAGCTGTTGTGGAAGTCATGAATATGAAGCTTCAGCAGCTGCACAGCCAACAGGCATCACAGTCTGGTACCACCAAAGCCTAAAAACAGTTCCAAGCAGCATGGCAGAAAATTCTGGGGAGGTCCTGAACATTTACCTTTCAGATGGAGCCATTCTAAACCCTTGAAATGGAGAACCACAGCTCAGATGTCAATATGTTCACATCTCCTTGGCGTGAGAAGAAAGTCACTTTTTTCCTGCATCAAACAACTAATCAATTTTTCTGTTCCATGTTTTCATTCTCATGTTTAGTGAACAAATGAAGCTTTGGGCATGGCCTGTGGTTGTATCCACAAAGCCTCCCACCACTGGGATTCATGTCTTTGAAGGAGATTTACTTTGTGGCAAACATTTGTCATGGATTTTTTTCAATACAGCAAATATTTTGAACATGAATATTTACATCTGAAATTGGCTAAAGAAAATGTTCTTGTTTTTCAAAAAGTGAGTTCAAAGAAATGTACAAGTATATGCATTTCATTACTAGTATTTTCATGTCAAAACAATAAAAGGAATAGCTTGATTTATTGTCCCAAGCAGTTACTAGTCCATGTTACAGAGAGCAGAAACATTATGACTGCTGTAAAATGTAAAATTTTCCACCCATGCTGAAAAAAAATTCAAAGTTGACATTTAAAACCTGACGTGTTACATTCATTAAAATGAACTTATTCTGTGTAGACTTCTGAAGACAATTATCTAGACATATGATGTACACACACACACTTGACAGTAAAAACATTTAGGCTAGAATGTTACAAAATATTTCATTTCAAATAAACACGGTTCTTTTAAACTATTCATCAAAGAATCCTGAAAAAATTTTTTTCCACAAAATATTACGCAGCAAAAACTGTTTTAACAATAAAAATGAGAAGAACCATTATTAATAGCCAAGCACAGCCAATCAGCATATTAGAATGATTTCTGAAGGATCATGTGACACTGAAAATTGTAATGATGCTTAAAATTCAGTTTTGCATCATAGGAATAAATGACATTTTATAATATATTCAAATAGAAAATAGTTATTTAAAATTGTAATAATATTTAACAATAATATAACAATAGTAATATATATAGTATAGTAATACTATATTTTTAAATCATAATGAAGAGCATAAGCATCTCAAATGACACAAAAATAATAAAGAGTTGTCATTAGCTTGGGTGGAGGACTGTTGTAAATAGATTAATCGCCGTGTCATGGTTCGCCGTTGCCCGGCTGCACTTTCGCTCAGAGTCTGTCGCTATGCGGCGCAGCGCGTGTTGCGCTCTGTTGTCAGGGAAGAGCAGTAGCCCCTCACTGCAGAACAAAGATCCAGGGGGTGGAGATGGGTGGGTTTAGGGATCAGGGGGTGGAGACGGGTAGGTTTAGGTATATGTAAGGTGGGAGGAGTTGGATCTGGATCCAACCTCGCCCCCTGGATCTTGTGTTCTGCAGTGAGGACCATCTCGGGAAGAGCGACCGCGATGGAGGGGGTGGTCGCATTGTCTGTCAGGACGGTGGCGGAGTGTGAATTTCTGCCGTCTGTCAAAAACGCTCGCTGATCCCCATTAAGGCTTATTAGAGTATGAAGTAGACCCGTACTGGAGATAGATTCGCAAGCGTTAGTGTTAGCGAGTCTTCCTTTTTCTTCCGTCCTTCGTTTAGTTTCTGAAACGGTAAGACAAACCGACCGTAACTAGCTAGAGCAAGTGCTTGTTGCATTCAGCCGGCGAGAGGAGGTGCGTAGTGGCGGATCGGGCGAGGAGGCGCACGGGGCTTGATCGCGGATCGGGGTCGAGAGTGGCCGGCCGGGGCAGAGCCAAAGGCGGCCGATGACTTCGGAGATTAGCAGCCAAGCGCAACAGAAGGAGGTCGAGCCGGGATCAGTCGCCCGTGATCAAGAGGAGAAAACCGGCGAGGACCAAGGCGGCATGGTGAGCTCAGGCCTGTGATGCTGAATCGGCACAACCCACTTAACCCTCCCCCTAAACACGTCGTCGTTACTGTGTTAACTTTTCGTTTATAATGTAACACTTTCATATTTTGAACAACCGTGTTTGTTTAGAACACAAAGTGACTGTTTATCGAATTGGTAAGCACTAGAATGTACTTGCAGTATGATGGCACCTGTGTCCTTGCGCGCTAACCAGATGAGATGAGACTAACTGCAGAATTGAAACAGATTGTCAGGTCGTTAGCAAATGAAGTATCGATCCACTGAAACTGAATGAGATCCTAGAGTAATAATACTGGGTACAATTGTAAAAGAAAAACATTAACGTTTAATCAGTTTTATTGATAAAAAAACAAGCATTAAAATGACTAAAACCTCATTCTAATATCAAATGTATTAAATTGTTTTCATATAAAGCAATGTTGATAATATTTTAGTCTTAACAAAGCAAGCTGTATGACTGTTTTTCCAGTTAACAAATGCTAGTCCTAATGTACTTTGTACTAACAAAGAGTGAAAAATTGAAGGGGGTCTGAATACTTTCCGTACCCACTGTATATATATATATATTATATATCAAAAGTTAGGGAACATTACGATTTTAAAATATTTCAATAAAGTCTAAATATTGCTAAATAGTTAATTGTTAAATAGTATTACAAGATGAGACTAACTGCAGAATTGAAACAGATTGTCAGGTCGTTAGCAAATGAAGTATCGATCCACTGAAACTGAATGAGATCCTAGAGTAATAATACTGGGTACAATTATAAAAGAAAAACATTAACGTTTAATCAGTTTTATTGATAAAAAAACAAGCATTAAAATGACTAAAACCTCATTCTAATATCAAATGTATTAAATTGTTTTCATATAAAGCAATGTTGATAATATTTTAGTCTTAACAAAGCAAGCTGTATGACTGTTTTTCCAGTTAACAAATGCTAGTCCTAATGTACTTTGTACATGGTTTAATTTCTAGCTCTGACAGATATTTAAATACAGGTATATATTATACATTTATCAGGCACATACTGCTGTTAAAGATGTGCTTAGATTCTGGTATCATGCCTGTATGAATGACGGCAGTGGTCATTTGTTGAATGTTAAAGGGTTAGTTCACCCAAAAATTTAAGTAGGTGACTTTGTTTCTTCAGTAGAACAAAAACAGAGATTTTTAACTCAAACCGTTGCAGTCTGTCAGTCCTATAATGTAAGTGGACGGGAATCACGGATTTGAGAGTCATAAAACATACACAAACAAAACCAAATTAAACCCTGTGGCTCGTGACGATACATTGATGTGTAAAGAGACAAAACGATCCTTTTAAGTGGCTTGGTCATTGGAATGAATGTTTTAACATGATGAGGAAGGTCAGCTTTAACATAAAAAGCCTTCATTTTTACCTATATAAAGCACCATCATGATACAGTGATGCTATTTGTTGGTAATACCATGGTACTTTCATAAACTATGGTTCTGAATGATTACCATTTTTATGTACTGACCCCTTTAACATAGTACCTTAAAGGATACCATTGTGTCAGATGTGGACTTGCACCAAAATGAAGCTAACAGATTCAGGTTTTGTTTCCAGTTCCTGTCCTAGATGTGCCAAGTCTCTTCTGCAGGAGTCTCTCTCTCTCTCTCTCTCTCTCTCGCTCTCTCTTTTAGAATTATGCAGATATCTGTATAACCTGTGAGAATCCTTTTACAGCATTTTGACTCCCAAGGCCCCCCATTGTCCACAACAATATTTGAAGGCCACATGCAGGGCCGGATTTACCTCTTTTCGTGACATAGGCAAAACAAATTTTTGGGCCCCCCTTGCCTATTAATATAATAGGCCTAACATTACCTACCACCCAAGCAAACAAAAATAATTCTTAATCAGTGGAAGGAAACCATTACAGTGTTTTCTATCGCAATAAGCGCTTGCGTTCAATCAATGAAAATCGGATGTAGTTCTTCATTTGTTTGAGAACTGAGAAAGAACATTCCATTAATAGGTGCAGCATCGTGGCCACATAAACACTTCAGGAGTGCATTATCTCTCTAATAATTTTAAAGGCCTGGAGTCACAACCACACATCAAGACATTGTTAAGATGATTTATTTCAAGACATTTGTCATGTTTCCGTCCTGAAATCTTGTGTGTGTTGAACTATAGTTCTTATTTTTTTACGCACCTCATAAACCTTCCATTGCAAATTCCAAAACATCATTTTAGAGCTAATAAAAGAGGCTTGAGCCATTGATATGTAGGCTAATGCAGTTATTAATGCAGTCTAACGCTCTTAGAGAGCGAGAGAGAGAGAGAGATTAAGCGCGTGTAAATACTTGCGTCTGTGCGTCTCTCAGCAGTGTTCAGCCGCAGCGTCTACTAATAGCGAATCTTTAAGTTAAACTGCTTCAAGAACCTCGCTACTGAGAAATGTCATGTAGCTTTTCAGCTGCACAACTATTTTATTGATACATTCGCGGGGCAGCGCTGACAAGTTTTTGGTCGCGTCTCCGCGCGAGTGCGTGTGTGTGCGTCTGTGAGAGAGAATGGGAGAAAGAAAGCGTGATTTCCGTAGCTTACATAGACAAAAAGGTTCTTCTATGGCATCGTGAAGCACCTTTATTTTTAAGAGTGTAGAATGCCTATGCGTAAATCCGGCCCTGGCCCCATGACTTTTCCAGATGATCATGATTTATGTTCTTTCTTTCTTGTGCTCTCTTTCTATCTGTGCCCCACTTTGTTAATCACTCAATCATCTGAACTGTCACTTAGCACAATGACAGCATAAAAAAGTGGATGTCAGCCTGGAGAAATGACTATTCACTATAAACAGCAAAGAAACTTTAAATGCATGGAAGATTTTAAAAGATTGTTTTGAGATTAAATATATAGTAAATTTGAATGGAGATTTGAAGTTAGTAGGCCTAGCTAGGTGGTTGCTAAGGGAGCACTGTGTTAATGTTTTCAGATTTGTTGCTTGGCAGCTAATAAGGTGTTCTGGATGTTTGTTAGGGAATTGCTAGGTGGTTGCTAAGGTGTTCTGAGTGGTTGTACAAACAACATTAAAGTTTTGAGGCTGCCTTGTACGTTTGCTGAGGCCCCAGCCCCCTGGTTGAGAACCTTTTTTTTTTTTAAAGGGGTCATATGATGCGATTTCAAGTTTTCCTTTCTCTTTGGAGTGTTATAGGCCTCTTTTAATTTGGTCAGTTCCCTTGTTGTTGAGACTGAACAATGTTGGCGTGCACAATATAAATACTGCTTATAAATATGTCACTAAAGAATCATTACAGACCTTTCTTCCTGGTTTCCTAGAGTCGCGGCTCGGTTGATCTGACCTCTCAGACTGCTCAGCTCTCGATCCATCTCTCTCTTCCACTGCTCGATCCGTCGGTCCAGTCCAGTCTCTTCTGCTCCTCTGGAGACTTTTCCAGTCCCTCAATATTATCATTAGCTAAAACTATTAAAGGGGTCATATGATGCGATTTCAATTTTTCCTTTCTCTTTGGAGTGTTACAAGCTCTTGGTGCATAAAGAAGATCTGTAAAGTTGCAAAGACTAAAGTCTCAAATCCAAAGAGATATTCTTTATAAAAGTTCAGTCAGCCACGCCTACCTAAAACGGCTCGTTCTAACACGCCCCCACATGTCTACGTCACGATGTGGGAAGATTTGCATAACACCGCCCAAATGTTCACCCAAAGAAAGAAGGCATAACTTGGATTCTCGCTGTAGTATTGTTACCGCCGCCATATCTTGGAGACGCTGTGTGTTTCATTGTGAAAGCAAAACTACTTTGTTTGGCATTCCAAAAGAGGACACAACTAGAAATCAGTGGTTAAGTTGTATTTACAACACTGTTCCAGAACAGTTCAACCCAAATAT